ACACACACACACACACACACACACACACACACACACACAATAAATAAATAATTTTAAAATGTAGTAAAATTAATTTTAAAAAATAAGGTCATGAATTTGGTAGAATCATGCTGTACAAAATAACAAAATACTTCCAAAAAGAGGAAGAGTTTTCAAAGATTTTATTCATTTAAAGATATTTTTAACATCTTTTTGTTGTTTTTTCAATTTTATTTATTATTGTTATTTTATGTGTATGCATGTATTGCCCACATGTAGGTAAATGCATCCGTATCGTGCAATGCTGGCGGATGTCAAAAGAGGCTGTCGGATCCCCTGGGACTGGAGTTTCCGACAGTTGTTAGCTGCCATGTGAGTGCTGGGATTCAAACCGGGTCTTCTGCAAGAACAACCAGTGTTCTTAACCACTGAGCCATCTCTCCAGCCCCCATCTAAAGATATTTTTATCTCATTAAATTCCATCTCTTTACATTTTCCTTAAAACGTCCATAGCAGGGGATGAAGAGACGGCTCAGTGGTTAAAACTACTGACTACTCTTGAGAAGGATCTGGGTTGAATTCCCAGCACAAAAATGGTGGCTAACAATCATCCCTGACTCCAGTGCCAGGGGAATCAGACACCCTCTTCTGACCTTCGCCAGCACTGCATGACAGGGGTGCACTCACATACATGTAGGCAATACACTCATACACATAAAAAAAATAATAAATAAAATATTTTTTAAAAAAGTATTGAACTAGGTGGGCATGGTGGTACACACCTTTAATTCCAGCACTTGGGAGGCACAGGCAGGCAAATCTCTGTGAGTTTGAGGCCAGCTTGGTCTACATAGCATAGCAAGTTCCAGGCCAGCCAGAGATTCATAGTGAGACCCTGTCTAAATAGTAGTAACAATAAGGTATTGAACTTAGGTACAGAGTGATGCGAACAAGTTACTTTTGGTCTTAAAAAAGTATTGAACTAGGTGGGCATGGTGGTACACACCTTTAATTCCAGCACTTGGGAGGCACAGGCAGGCAAATCTCTGTGAGTTTGAGGCCAGCTTGGTCTACATAGCATAGCAAGTTCCAGGCCAGCCAGAGATTCATAGTGAGACCCTGTCTAAATAGTAGTAACAATAAGGTATTGAACTTAGGTACAGAGTGATGAGAACAAGTTACTTTTGGTCCATGAACTCTTTGTTCAGTGGACCCCATCTTTCTTTTATATCCCTAGTACCAGTGTGAAGTCTGACATCTTGGAAGTAACAATTATAGATTAGTTTATTGAATGAGCAAATACATGTCAAGCCTTGCATCTTTATACACATTGGTCCCTGTTAGTTCAAGAAACAGTCTTCTTCCCTTCATTGTTCATCTCCATGGGAACTATGGCAAAATCAACCCAGAACCCAGGCTTCTGAGTCAAGTGGGATTTGGGTTCAGTCCTGGCTTCGCCATTTACTAGCAGCAAAGCCTTGTTTTCATTCCGTCTTTTATAAAAATGACAAAACAATCTACATTAAGGTTTGTTGGGGGCAGAACAATGAGATGATAAATTCAAAGAACTCAACAGGATGCCCACTGCATGGAAAGGGCTCAGAAGTAGCAGTCAGAAACAGTTTAACAAATCCTCCAAGAATCAGATCTCTTCTTGGAAATCTTTCCTTACTTTTCTCACTCACACAGGTGAGATGCCATGCCTACAAACTACCATACCCTTATATGTTCAGTGCTCTCCTGGCATGTGTCACAGTTATTATTTGTTCCAAAATACTTAGTGTTTCTGCCAAACACTAAGTACTGAATATAGAGTAAACAGAAGAAACAGATTCCCTTGTTTGTAAACCCTTTGAGCTCAACGCTGTCTTGCCTTTTCTATTTCTTACATTTAACATGGCCAGACATCTTGTAGTTGGTCTAAATTGACTCATTCAGTGAATAAATGAGTGGACCTGCTTTTCTATTTGTGGCTTTCATGGTCTTTGTGCTTGCATGGCGTCTTTAGTTAAACTATGCACATGAGCCTCAAGAGGTTCTCTCTTCTCCTCTCTCTCTCTCTCTCTCTCTCTCTCTCTCTCTCTCTCACTGCAAATTGCTTTTAAAGTATGTCCACCACATCAGCCTTCCTGAGGCATAACAGTCGTGTGCAGAGGTGAGATATTCTCTTCCTTTCTTTCAGATTCTATGACAAGGTGCTTTCTTTGCATGAGGACTCAACGATCCCTGTGGTGAACCCTCTGCTGGCCTTTACTCTCATCAAACGCCTGCAGTCTGACTGGAGGAATGTGGTGCATAGTCTGGAGGCCAGTGAGAATATCCGAGGTAATGAGGAGGGCTGTAGAATATTTGAGAAGCTTCTAGCTCCTGACTTGGTAGTAAGGAGAAAGATTCTGCTGAGTTTTGATGAAGGGAATAGAGTGGGAGGTATTATTTGAAGTCCTAAGCTTTTGTATGTCCATAGATAGGTGCTTATGATTTGAGATTAGAAAACATCTTCACATGTGGTTATCTTGCTTGTTCTCCATTACAATCCTGTAAAGAAGTATGTACCCATTTATTTATGTGCATAAAGTAATGACCATCTAGTAGTTTCTATTTCATTACACTTTTTAATTTGAAAATGTGGTCTGTAGCAAGATCATTTCCCTAATTCATCGGACTTTGTACTTTAAGAAGTTTGTTAATTTGGGGCAGTTAAGAATAAAGAGCCCTAAAGGGCAAGACTTCAGAGCTATATAGATAGGACAGTACAATGAAGGCGTGTGACTTATTTTTCACCCCTCATTAACCATTCATTCTGAATGTTTCCCTGTCAGATAAGTGTCTTAAGAATCTACTCCATGCCAGGAACTGAGCTTACAGTTAGGAACACAAGTAAAACATTTGAACAGGTAGTCATGTCTTGCATGGAATAAAAGCACATTGCCCATTGTTGAAAGATAGATTACGTTTTTACTAATTTTATAGCTCTGAAGGATGGTTACGAAAAGGTAGAGCAAGACCTTCCTGCCTTTGAGGACCTTGAGGGAGCAGCGAGGGCCCTGATGCGGCTACAAGATGTATACATGCTCAATGTGAAGGGCCTGGCCAGAGGAGTCTTCCAGAGGGTCACAGGCTCCTCTGTCACTGACCTGTACAGTCCCAGGCAGCTCTTCTCCCTCACGGCAGATGACTGCTTCCAAGTAGGCAAGGTAACAACAGATTCTTGTGGATGAAATAAGTGGGTCCCAACTGCTTTTATGTATTTCTCATGCTTGTAATAGTAAGCTTGGAAATTTGATAGTGTTCCCATTTTCAGAGGAAGAAACAAAGGTTCAGACAGGGTAAGTAACTAAAAAACAACTTGAAGTAACAGAAGCAAATTTTGTCTTTTAACTCTTAATCTCATGCTCTCTCCATGAGAATGTGATCATATATTTAGGACACTCTTGGGTATGAATGGATTTTTTTTTTATTTTACACAGTCTCATTATGACCCTATATGACCTCAAACTCTCTATATGGCCAGGGAGAACTTGAATGTCTGATCCTCTTGCCTTTACCCCGAGTGCTGGGATTACAGGCATGTGCCACCATGCCCAGTTTGTACAGTGCTGGGAATTGAACGCAGGGCTTCATGCATGCTAAACAAACATTCTATCAGCTGAGATACACCCTTAGCCTGTGAAAAGGTTTTATTAATCGTGCCAGGACAACACACATATACTAGGCAAAAGTCATCACTTTTGCCCTAATTATCTATAGCTCCCCGCTGGTAGACGGACCAGTGGGTGGAGAAAGAAAGCAAAGCAAACCAGATGGCAGTGTGAAGGTAAGATCATAGAAACACAGCCTCCTGAGACACTCTGGAATCCCTTACAATGTTCCCCCAAAGGATTTAGAAATACTGAAATAAATTAGTGTAAAAAAAATTGAAGCTGTTTCCTTTCACATTACTTGAGGAAACAGACCCCAGGAACCTCCCATACAATGCATTTAACTGATTTTTTATCATATTGAGATTGTTTTACAGTATACTCTTTGCTAGCCTTTGCCTTCAGATGGAGTAGGGTAAATCTTTTACTTTCGAAGATGCCTACTGCAAGAAAGTGTGCCCTGCCCCCTGGCTCCTACACTGTTCATTAGCAGATCTGAGAATGGGCTTCAGAAGTCCTAGTTTCAAGTTTAGGGAATCAGTCATCCAAATCAGTGCAGAGTGGGGCTGCCTCAGTCTCTGCATGCTGTTTCTTTTTCTGAAGTCCTGAGCAGGATCGGAGCCCAGCATGGTTAATGTGAATAGCTTAATGTACAGTAACAATATGTGCTCATTGGTGAAGCCTTTCAGAACCAAAGCCATATGCTGAGAATTTATTGTCAACTTCCTGAAAGTCTTGCTAAATCTTTCTTGTTTTTCTTTCTTTCCTTCCTTCCTTCCTTCCTTCCTTCCTTCCTTCCTTCCTTCCTTCCTTCTTTCTTTGACAAAGCATTTCAAACATAAGAAATGTACATTGAATAATAAAAAAGAAATGGTCTATAAATGAAGTGAGATACATGTTCTCATGTGGCTATATTTCTTTTACAGTATTTTCCCTTCTCACCATTCACCACCTGTCCACTATCAGGTACACAGTGTCCTGCATCATGCAGTGTGTTATCCTCTGAAGTTGGTTTCTTTCACTCTGTATGTTATGCTGTGGAATGCATTCATGTTGTGTGTATTCGTAGTTCATTTCTTTTTATTGATTAGTAGTCTACTGTGTGAATATGCCACAAGCTGTTTAGTCTCCTGTTGATACTCAGATTATCTCCTGTTTAAGACTGCTGTTAGCATTCTTGTAATGTCCTGTGGATTTGTCTTCATTTCTCTCTCTCTCTCTCTCTCTCTCTCTCTCTCTCTCTCTTTATTTGTTGCTTGTTTGAGACAGAGTCTCACTCTGTAACCCAGGCTAGCCTGGCACTCACAGTAATCCTCTTGCCTCAGCCTCCCAAATGCTGGAATTACAGGCATGCTCTATGAAACCCAGTGATTTCTCTTTGATGAATACCCAAGAATAGAAATGCCAGGCCAGAGAATGGACATTAATAGTTATTAACATGGAGCCAGTTTTGTTTCATCAGTAGCTCCATAATCACTTTTTCCATGGGTTACTTTAAAGTAAACCAGTCTATTTTCTGAAGTTCTTGTCTAATTCCATGACTGTCCAGTTGTCTGTTACTCATGATGGATTATTGCTCATGATGGATTATTTCTTGATATACTTTGTTGTATCTGATTGGAAGTTTGGAAGTTTGTTTTCAGTAGGACACTGCCCCCACCCCCAAGAGAATCTGTTTCCCAGACCTATGAGAGGTTTCCTCTACCAAGTTCAAGATTTTCTTCTTCCAGGAGCTCTTGTGCTACCACTGGCATCTGATCCATTTTTATATTCCTTGACAATTAAATAATATAATCTAAGCTCTAAACGCATATGAAGCATTGGTTCACAATTGTGAACTCTCTATGGTGATATTTTATTTCTCTACCCAGATGCCAGGCAGTAACATACCAACTTTCTTGTCTCCTTAATCTAGTGGGTAAATTTTTTCTACCTCATTCTTTTGCTCAAGGTGTAGTTATTAATAGAGTCCAGTTTTACCAGAATGCCTTAGCTCCAACTCCTAGTTTTTGGGGGGCTTAAGGAAGGCTCATCTTCTGCTCCCTCATGGACATCTTGACCTGAGGTGGCTGAGCACCAAGGTTACTAAGACCCTCCCCCAGCTTAAGCATCTGCTCATGAGTTTATTGCCTAAGTTTTTAGCTAAGTTTTTTCTACCGTCTGGCATTTTCCATTTTTTTCTTGAAAACGTGTAACATCATACTTTATATATTTTATTCCAAACATCTAAATATTTGTGTTTGAAAGAATTCCAGTTATGCCTACCATATTGTTAGGATTTAAAGTTCCTCAAGGAAATGATTTGAGCTGGGATGTTGCTCAGTGGTAGAGTGCTTCCTTAGCAAGCACAAGGCACTGCATTTGAGAGAGAGAGAGAGAGAGAGAGAGAGAGAGAGAGAGAGAGAGGGCGCGCTAATTTGGCAGGGAAAAGTGTAGGGTTTTTGTTTTTGGCCTTTTTGAGACAGGGTCTCTCTGTAGCCCTAACTGGCCTTGAACTCACTATGTAGACCAGGCTGGCCTGGAACTCACAGAGATCCTCCTGCTCCTACCTCCCGAGTGCTAGAATTAAAGGCATGCACCACCAAGCCTGGCTAGTTTAGGTTTTTGGTTTTGTAAATTATTTTTCAACTCAACATTTTACGTGAGTAAGAAACTCAGAAAAAGACCAGAAAACTAAAAGAGCAGTTTGTTAGCAGACCTGAGATAGAAATCACTTTATTATTTAGGCTGCAGAGCAGTAATTATCTCTAGCTTCTGCCCTAACTGGAAATTAAACCTGAATGAAATCATTTTTTAAGAGTTCTTCCAACTTGGTGACTTTATAATTCCATGTTGCTTCCAATATTGACTTCCAGGAAATTCTCCCCGTAGGTCTGGAATTCTAGTTAACTGTAAGCTGGTAGGAGACAAGAGCTATGTCTGGTACATGCTGCCGTGTTGACTGGCATTCCAACATTTAATCAGAACTGACCCACTCAAGCTCCCAAAGCATTCCCAAGTCTGCCATCATTATGTACGGCCATGATTGGTTTTCTCGTGTGCCTTTTCTTCAAGTAGTTTAAAGATAAGAACCATCACATGCATCACACTCAGAAAGCACTGAATAAATAAATACATTTAACTCATTCTCCACATTGCTACCAGCAATATCTCCCTGAGAACACATTCAAGACTGTAATTAGCTAGGTGCATAAGTTTAATGACCATATTCCTGTTTTTCTTCACATTAGACCCCGATGAATTGAGAGCATAATCTTGGTTTTGGTTTCTGTTTCTGTTTAGTTATTAACATGGAGCCATGTTAATAACTTGTCTTAAATGCACTTCCTTTCCATCTCTTTTCATTAAAATCTTTTTCCTTCTTCAAGGAAGGCCCATCTCAGATGCCACTTCCGTGAAGCCTTCTATGCCTCCACAACACATTATGTGCTTTCTGTCAAGTCCTCACACTATTTTGTCCCATATCATATTTACTTCAGTTTACCTTTCTCTTCTCTCCTAGGTCATCAATCCTTTAAATGCAAGAAGGTGTTTAAATTTTTTATTTATTAATATTTTATATGTGTGTTTTGCCTGCATGTGTTGACCATGCATGCAATGCCCATGGAGGCCAGAAGAGGGCATCAGATTCCCCTGGAACTGGAGTTACAGGTGATTGATTAGCTGCCATGTGGGTGCTAGGAACTGAACCTGGATCCTCTCCAAGAGCAGCATGTGCTCTTAACTGCTGAATAATCTCTCTAGCTCATAAATGCAAGAAGTCTGTGTCTTCTATTCACATAGTGCAAAGTGTTATACTATTATTATAAAATAGATATTTAGGGGCTGGAGAGATTTTAACATTTTTATTATTTTTATTTTATGAGTGTATTGTTTGCATGTGTATATGTACCATCTCTGCAATGCCTGTGGAGGTCAGAAGAGGGCATCAGATCCCCTAGAACTGGAGTCATGGATGGTTATTAGAAGCCATGTGGGTGCTGGGAATCAAACCTGGGTCCTCTGTGAGAGCAGCCAGTGCTCTTACCTCCTGAACCATCTCTCCAGCCCCAAAATATTTTTTAAAATAATAAAATAAAATAGGTACTGAATAGACTGACTTTAAATGAATTTGTGATTGACACGTGCCTTCTGGAGTCCAAAGGCACTCCTACTCTGAATAATCAAACAGACATAACTGCAGGAACCAGGACAAGGGTAAGGAAACAGTGAGGTA